GGAGCACAGGCTCCGGACGCGCAGGCTCAGCGGCCATGGCTCACGGGCCCAGCCGCTCCGCGGCATATGGGATCTTCCCGGACCGGGGCACGAACCAGTGTCCCCTGCATCAGCAGGCGGACTCTCAACCACTGTGCCACCAGGGAAGCCCTCATCGTATCTGTTTTTACCTGTTACATTGGGCCATTCCATTCAGGGTAGTGATGTAAAGTTGCATTTTTAAATAAAGCATATTAAGTTTATAATTAGTAAGTCACTTTAAGGGGAGTGGTGAGGGATGGGTGGGATGTGGACGTGGCAGAACCAGGAGATGAGGGCTGAGAACGCCTGGGAGCTGAAGTCACCTGTCATCTTGACAAGACCATCGCTCGTTTCTGCAGGGGGTGTGGATTAGCCAGGTGTCTGGAAACATCAGGCCAAAGGCTGGCTAGGTGGCCCAAAGCCACCCAGGTGAAAACCTATTGCAGGTGTGGGGCTGAGTCGGGGGAAACCCTCATTTCCGAGGTGGGACGTGTAGAGGAGCTAGTTTGGGGTTGGACCCCTGTGCCCGTGGGAGGCGGGGAACTGTCCATCAGGGGACCCTACGCTGAGGTCTGGAGCTCCAACGGCCCTGTCCCCAGCTTTGCCGGGGCCAGCACCCCCATCTCTCTCCTACCCTGCTTCTCCCCACCAGGCCTGCCTGCCTTGGATGCCAACGACCCGGAAGGTGAGTCAGACCGACTCTTCCACCAGTCCCGCCCCCAAAGTCTCCCCCAGGACCCCTGCATCCCCACTCTTATCCTGGATTCATGTCCTATTTTTCTTTCCTTGCAGATAAAAACAGTCCTTTCTACTACGGTGAGAGCCTGTGCCCCTCCCTTTGCAGCCCCACTCACCCCTCAGACCGATTTTGTGCCAACGGTCCCACACAGGGCTGGGTGAGGGTCTGATGGGGGTGACCCAGGGGCGAGGATTGGGGCATTGAACAGTAAACACAGGAGATTAAGGCAACCAGGCATGCCAGCCTGGTTCTTAGAACCACCCCCATGTTTTCTTCCACGTCACCCCATGCTCCCTCCCTCCCCTCCTCAGGCCTCTGTTCAAATGTGCCCCTTCAGCTGGGTCTCCCCTGGCCACTCTCCCTAAAAGAGCTGTCTTCTGACTCTCCGTCCCCTGGCCCTGCTTACTTGTCTTCAGGCCGCTTCTCTCTACCTAACTCCACGTTAAATCTCTGTCGCTTGCTGTGTAGACTGGAAAGTGAGCGTGGGGGCTGGAGGGCTGTCTGTTCTCTCCACTGCTGTATCCCACATCAGGGGTGCCTAATGCATATCATCAAGCGGTTGGGGGCTTGGATGAGGAAGGCACGGGCTGGCACCGAGGGCCCCCTCTGGGTTTCTCCTAGACTGGTTCAGCCTCCGTGTCGGCGGGCTCATCTTCGCAGCGGTCCTGTGCGCCATTGGCATCATCGTCCTCATGAGTGAGTGGAGCAGCTGGCGGGGGAGAGGGCAGCGCAGGGCGGTGGGTGTCCTCCCCTGACGTTCCCCTCTCTCCTAACAGGTGGGAAATGCAAATGCAAGTTCAGCCGGAAGCCCTGGTAAGATGGGTTCCAGGCAGTGTGCCTGCCTCATACTGCACAGACACCTTTCAGGGGTAAAGAGCTAAATCCCACAAAAAAAAAGGCTGGATTTCTGGGTCTTGCCCTGGAGGATTCCTGTTACTGAGATTTTCCAGGTTTATTCTTCAGAGCCATGAATCCTCAGAGGGCCTCCAATCATGAAATGCTTTGGTCCCTGAGATGGTACAACTTTGTGGGAAAATAGCTAGGAAGATATGTCGGGGCAAGCTGAGAATCCTCTAGCCTTGAGGGAGAGGATGAACAGAGGTAAACAGAGATCTCATCACTTTTCTTCCCCTAGCCGCCATCCAGGGGATGCCCCACCTCTCATCACTTCAGGTAAGACAGGGACAGAATGGAGCTGACTGGGACACAGGGTATGAGGTGTGCGCGTGTGCGTGTGTGCGCGCGCGCGCGCGTGTGTGTGTGTGTGTGTGTGTATGCACCCTGGGGAGAAATAACCTGATCCACTCTCACAGGCTGACCCTGTCACCTCTCCCAGGCTCTGCCCATAACTGTTGAGGATGGATCAGCTGAAAGAGCACCGAGGGCCACTCAGACCACCTGGCCAGGGCTCCATCTCATCTCTCACAGGAGGGGGGTCTTTGTTCAATTTTCACTCTAAAATGATCTTGCCTCATGCCCAAGCAGCCTCGAAACTCCCTATGTGCGCGTTGGGGTTTTGGGGGGCCAGGAGAAGGTGCATGTGCATGGGGGCCAGCATGGAAGCTGGAAGCTGAATCTCTCCACTGGGACAAGCCCACAGGCCTGCTTCCTCACGACCTAGTGGACAGCATGGGGCCTGACCTCTGCCTCCGTGGCCATGGGAGCCACATCTGCCATTTAAAATGCTCTAGTAGCCACATGGGGGACATTCTGAGAGTGAAAGGGAGCTCTAGCCAGATGTAATGCTGGGACACTCAGGTGGACAGTGGGACCTTCCCAGGAAAACTAGGATGTGGAATCATCCTGTCACAACAGGAGTAGCCAGATAGCTTATGATTATAATAGTGACCCTCTGACTCACCTCAGACCCCATTTTATTATAAAAGACCCTTCCTAACACTCAAAAGTTCCTGTAAGACCTTTAAATTATTCCCCATGATACTCCTAATAATATATAATGGCCACATGGTGTGAGAACCTCCACCAAGCCCTAAACTCCCTTGAGACAGTCTCCAATACCCAATAAGACTTCCAAAATGTCCCCAAGAGCCATAAAAATGCCTAAATTCCTTCAAAACACCCCGAAGTATCTCCTACAATACGTAAGACATGAGACCAACAATAAACCCGTGACCTGTCCCCTAATAATGCCCTTATATCCCTCGGACATCCCACTAGGACCCCATAATCATGAGCACACACTCCTTAGAAACCTCGTGAAAGCTCAACAAGGGCTGCCAAAATGTACCCTGGGACACCTCCCACCCCCCCTCCCCGCTCCATAATACCGTTCCTGGGACACGAATCCTCCTCCCTCACCCCACCCCCATGCCACAGCAGACACCCTCTCCCAATGACCCCACAACAACCGGTGAGGCGGGTGCACAGCGCGTTTATTGAGCTCGTACACTTTCTGTCCTCGCCCCTTTCACCGACCGAGGACGGGTACCTCGGACTCCCGGCAACAATTCTCAATTTCCCGCCTATTCCCTGCGCACGCGCAACAGAGAAGACACGCTGGGCTTCCGCCTCGGCAGCAGGCATGCGCACAAGCAGCAGAGGAAGTTAGCAAGCCCGGCAGGGAAAACTGCCCAGCTACTGATGACGTCATGGAGGCGGGCACTCAAAGCGATTGGCTGGATTGAGTTTAGAAGGAAAAGGAAAGCTATCCTCTCCGTAGTACTTTTACAGGGAATAGGAGGGGTGAGAGTGGGTTGAGGGGGGCGCTTCCAGACCTCATGGAGCTCTGCACATTACCCCCCGCCCCCCATGATTTCTGTACTGTCTGCGTGTGGCGGTGCCCCAGCCTGAGCCCCCAAGTCATCCTTGGAGGGGGAGGGGTCATCTGCCCCCAGACAAGATGTTGCTTAAGACTGGACAAGCAGCTCTTGCCTTGAACTTGGCCTGTGGTCAGTATCTCACAGGACCAGCAGTCACCTCTGAGTAGGGCCAGGAGTCTAGGCAATGGGGCATCCAGAGGCCCAGGACTCCCCATGCCAGCCCTCTGCCAGCCATGTCTAGGGTCCCTGCCAGTCTCAGGCACTGAGGTCTAACTCGTGATGCTGGTAGATCTGTGTGGGGCCCTTGAAGCAAGCAGCGAAGAGGAAGCGTCTGCCGACCATGGTGATGTGGGCAAAGGCCCGGGGGGCCACCAAGGCTGGCGGCCCCAGCTCCTGCAGTGGCTCCAGGAGCCCCCTGTCAGGCTCAAGGCGGAAGACCTGGCTGAAGGCGAAGTCGCTGCCCAGGATAGCCAGCTGGTCCCTGGCGATGAGCAGTGGCTGGAAGACGTGGGCACCGCGAGAGGGAAGCTGCTGCAGCAGGCGAAACATGGAACCATCCCAGCGCATGACCTGCGGAGGGTGGCCGCTCATTAGGGCTGGGGTCCAAGAGGGCCAGGCCTGCCTGTCAGTGGTCCTCTAGGCTCTGGAGGACTTGGAACAGCTTGGGAACAGAGGCCTGTAGGTCCCCAAACTCCCACAGCTTTCTTATCTTCATAAATGTCACCACCCAGCTGCTCAGGCCACCGACTTGGAGTTATTCTGAGCCCTTCTCTCTCCCTCACACCCCACATAGAATCAGTCAGCCCTGGAATCTGTCAGTTTCACCTACCATGGTATTTATGTCTCTCATTTATTCTGGCTGCACTCCAGCCCAGCCACAGTCACCTCCCTCCTGGATCATCACACAGCCTCCTTCCTGGTCTTCCTGGTCTCCCTGCTCCCGTCCCTGTGCCCACAGTCTGCTCCCCATGCAGACACCCTGTGAACACCTGTGTCATACCAGTGCCTTTTAGGCCCAGAGCCCTCCCCCTGGCTGTACCTCACTCCAGAGAGAGAGTGCTGGAGGGGGTGGGCCGTCAGCCCTGGGGCTTCTGGGTGTGATGGTTGTGATTAAATGTAGGTGCTGGGGTGTGTCGGAGTTTGGTGGTAGAATCTCGGGGCCAGTGTCAGTGTTGGGCGATGGGGAGTGGTTTAGGGTCAGCCAGCCTCGAGGGGTCACAGTCTCGGAGTCAGTGTTGGGGTGGGGTCAGAGCTCAAAGATCAGCACGTTAGGAAGCTCAGCCCATGAGGTGGGTCAGAGTTCAGAGGCCAGTGCGCAAGGTGGGGTCAGTGCTGAAAGGCTAGCCCTGAGTGGGAGTCTGCTGATGCAGGTCAGACCCGGCCTGTGCCTGCCCCACGGGACTGGGCTCAGCCTCACCATGGAGTCCCCGATGTAGCGTGTCAGGCACAGGAACACATCTCCGCTGGCCTGGAAGTGGCGTGTGGCATAGACGTCCTCGGCCTCGGGGATGTCCGTGCGCCTCTCGAAGCGGCCCCCAAACCAGTGGAAGAGCACGGGCCGCTGCGAGGCGGAGGCTAGCAGCAGATGGGGCCGGCCGTCCAGCTCGAGGGCCTCGGCATCCGTGTCCCGGTGCCAGGCGTGCAGGCTCTGGCGTGGGTAGAAGCCAGGCCCGTCCCGGCACAGCAGCGTGGTGCTGCCCGCCTTGGAGGCGTCGGCCACCACGAAGCAGGGCTGCCCGTCCAGCCACAGGAGCTCGGCATCATTGGGCCGCAGCAGCCGCCGTGGAGCCAGGGCCTGCAGCGGGGCCAGGCGCAGGTCGGGGCCGGGCCGGGCCCACAGCTGCGAGCCTCCCCACAGGCGGGCGGCCAGCACAAAGAGGCGCGGGCCCAGCACCAGCGGCTTGCAGGACACCACCGAGGGCGCTGTGGGGAGGCGGGGAGCAGGGCGCCTGTCAGATGAGCTGGGCAGGCCACCTGGCAGGCAGGAGGATGGGAGTGGGCTTACCAGACAGCTCTTCCTCCTGCCGGAAGCGCTGCAGGCTGTAGTCCCAGGTCAGGATCAGGCAGCGGCCGGCAAAGGGCTGTGCCAGGACGACGTGGGGCTCCCCTTGGTAGGAGAAAGCCTCTACGCCCAGCGCTGACTCGCCGACCGTCTGGAACCAGGACAGCTCTGGGAGGGGGTGCAGCGGGGAGGGGAGAGAGTCAGGCAGGCCAGGGGCACCCCATGGGTCTTCATCACTGAGTCCCGCTTTGCACACCTCTGAGGTGAGGACCACCACGGTGTTGACCTCGTAGGGACATAGGGTGGAATCTTTTTACCTATGGACGTATTAACTCACAACAACGTGGCGGTACTCTATTTTCTAAGCTGTGTGGCATCATCAAATAGTTGCTTAGAAGTAGCCTATTTATTCATTCATTTAATTTCACAAGATCCCTATGGGTTATGTTCTGTTATTATATCCACTTTATAGATGAGGAAACTGAGGCTAAGAGGCGCAGGCAGCCAGCTGTCCAGCCAAATCCATCCTTCCCATCTTCCATGAGATAGGATAGCAGCTGGGCACAAAGCTGCCCAGCCAGAGGCCGCATTAGCCCAGCACTCCCCCTACGCTGCCCCCCAGCCTCTGAGGTCCGGTGTGGCCATGACCAGACCAAGTTCCCAATGGAACAAAAGCAGAGTGATGGTTGTAGTGCTTGCCTTGCTTGTAGGAAGATGGCTCATCCTGGACTTGGCCCTTTCCCCTTCTCCTTGTGAACTGGCATATGGATGGGGCCACAGCTCGGTTTCAGCCGTGGAAAGCAGGATAACACCCAGGGGCTGCCCCACCCACCTGGACTGCTCACCTCACACCCTTCTGTTTTCTTTAATTCATGGTATTTACAGCCTCTTTGTTACAGCACCTTAGCATTTTTGGTAATGGTGCACCCAGATTGCCCAGTGTGGTGGCGGTGGAGCCGGGTGGTGGACTCCAGTTTACAATCCTTCACTCTACATGCCAGGCTCTACTTCTAGGGACCAGGGTTGAAGCGATGAACCAAACCGCTAAGCATACCCATCCAAAGGGGATCTTTTAAAAATGGCCATCAAATCATGTCACTCCATGGCTTCCCACAGCCCTCTGGATAAAGTCCACCTTGTTCTCTATGGCTTTCGAAGTCCTGCAGAGTGAGGCCCCTGCACCTTCCACCTCCTCTGTGTCCTTCCCTCCTCACTCCCGTAAACCAGACGCGCCTCCCTTTGATCCTCATTCAGGACAAGCTCTGTGCTGCCTTGGGGGCCACTGCACATGTGGGCTCCTTCTGTACTCCACTTAGCTACGTCCACATCTAGTGCTACCCCTTCAGAGAAGCCTTCTCCGATGCCCCACGTAAGGCAGGACCACCGCCTAAACTCTCTCATCGCCCCCTGTGTTTATCACAGTGTGTACCATACACTTATTGGTGCAATGTTTTATTTAATGTCTGTCTCCCCACCCCCAGGACTGTGACCCCATGAGGCCAAGGCCAAGGCCCAGGGTTATCTTGGTCACCACAGTGTGCCCATCGCCTCTCACAGGGATGGGCACCGAGTGGACCTCAGTGACTCTTTGTTGAATAATGGAATGAAGAGTGACTAAGTTAAACTCCCTTGTTCTATGAATCCCAAAGACCAAAAACATGTCTTATGCTTTGGTGGTGATGATGTTAGTAATGGTTTTCAGGTTTGAACTCAAATGTCCACTCCTTCCTGACCCTCCAGCTGTGCCTGGCCCCCGCTCTGGCTCTGGGCTCCCGTAGCTCCATGGTTTCTCTCCATCCCGGCCCTGCTTCCCCCATCCCAGGCCTGATCATTCTGGGCCATCCCTCTCTGCTTGCCTCTGGCTGTGGGCTCTGTGAGGGCAAGACCCAGGACTGGCTTCATCACTGCTGTGCTCTCTGCTTTGCCCAGTACCCATAAAGCTACCAAAATACATTTGTGGAAAAGCAAAATGATCATAGGAAGTATTTTTTAAATGGTCGATTTTATATCAATAACAACAACGACGAGAATGAACATTTATGGGGGCCTCCCCTCCCAGGCCCTGCGCCAAGTACACCACTGGAGTCTCACAGCAGCCCTATGTCACTGTTTATTACCCCTATTTACAGATAAGAAAACTGAAGCTCAGGGAGGTGATGCTGCTTGCTCAGGAGACTCACAGCCAGGAAACGGCAGAGCAGGGAAGGAGGTGAGCCCCTCAGCCCTGGCAGCCGTTCCCCAATCTCCCACCTTCTTCCAGGAACACCTGCTGTCCCTCCCACCCCACCGGGAAAGCCCCCACCTATGGCTCTGCACTTGAACGTCTTGGGGTCGAGGTGGTGGAGCTGCATGTGGGCCAGGGCGGCGGGGCCGGCACAGGCCCCACTTCCCACGCTGGCGTTCACGGTGGGTATCCACTGCAGCAGCCAGAGGACACGGCAGTCACACTGGAACGGGTTCCCGCGGAGGTCCCTGGGGCAAGAGGCCGGGGAGGGGCTGTCACCCGGATTCCACTCCCTGGGGGCCACGCTCCCCACCCCTCCCCAGGCAAGATTTCAGGATAGGGCCCCCAAGTGGTGTGGAAAATATGTAGGAACCATCACAGTCATACTCATCTGTGCCAACCAAGAGTGGACACAGATGTCCCCTTCCCCCACCCAAACATTCCCAAATCCTCCCACCCTCCCAGCCCCCTTGAGCCTCACACGTGAGTCAGGGTCTCCAGGCCTCGGAACAGGAATCTGGGGAGGGTCTCGAGATGGTTATTGGCCAGGCTTCTGGTGGAGGGAGAGAAGGAGAAATCATCAACAGCTCCCAGGATACGCTGTGTGCCTGGGTGATGGGTGCAGGGTGCCTGTCAGGGAGGGCTGGGACGATGGAGGCACGCACAGGTGTGTGAGTGAGCGGAGTCCTCTGAGAGCATTCTTAGAGATGGAGCCAATCTCATTGTCTTCGATAAAGCTGTGGAGGGAAGGTGGGGTCAGGGGGCGGCCCTTGTGTCCCTGCTGTGGCCCTACAGTGCTTGGGGAACTCACCCCATGGAAGCCATAGGCCACTGGAATGTGCCGAATTCTCCCCCAACAGCTTGCGTAATCCCAGGGAAAACCTCCCAGGAACCTCTCCTAAGCAAGGTCCCAGCCTACAGGTTCAGGACCCAAGAACCTGACCCTATGGTCATTGCCAGCCTCACCGTGAACACTGCCACCACCATCACCACCACTGCTGCCCTGATCACCAACACCAACTCTAGCACCAATATTACCACCCATACCTCCACCATCATCCATTATGCCCAGTGCCTCTACCATCGTCATCAACCCCAGTACCAATAACTGCCGTCATCACCAACAATATACCATGTCACCACTGTCACCGATACCATCACCACCCATTCCCATCATCAATACCAACACCATCACCAACACCATCATTACCAAACCTACACCGGCAACACTGATAAGAGTCACCAAGAACACAGCCTTTGTGATCAATACCAAAACCATCGCCACCATTATCACAAGCTTCAGCACTGGCACCAGCACGGCCAACACCAGAAACATCACCTTTACCCCCAGCACTCACATCATCACCCATCAGCACCACTACTGCCGCAATTTCCATACGTACGAACGTCTCCGCCATCACCACCAAACCCCATACCAACAACATTGCCATTACACCAACACCAACATCCTACCCCAAACCATCACCAACAACAATACAATAATTACCAATGCCCAGAATACTGATAATTATCACTAACACCAACCCTTCAAACTTCATCATCCATACCACCGATAGCACCATCACCGTTGGGTCCACCATTTTTATCAAAATCATCCCCACTCCACCATCCTCAATAATGCCACCACTTCCCTGTGAGCAGCTGCAACAGGATCACCACCACCACCATTACCATCACCACCAGCACCAGCAGTAATGCTGGCGTAGTCATACTCTCATCAGCACCATTACCATCAGTACCACCATCACCAGCTAACTCAGAATAGTTTCCTCTTAATTTGAAACATTTCTTTATCTCTGGCCTCTCTGTAACCTCCCTGGGCTCCCGAAAGTCAGGTAGGACCAGAAAGAGTCATGGGTTATCCAGGCGTTTTGTGAATCTTGAAACAGAGAGGGCAGCTGAGCAGAAGCCCCAACCCCACTCAAGAGGCCAGGACCCTTATCCCCTCCAGACGGTCCCTTGTGCAGACACTTCCTCCCCAGGGCAACAAGCCCCTATCTCCCCCACTCTAGGAGACACAGAGGGGCTCCGCCTTCCTTTCCAGGGTCCCCATTCCTGCCCCCATCTCCTGGCCTCACTCACAGGTACTGCAGGTGGGACAGGCCCGCAAACGCATCGTCCTCGATCACGGAGAAGGAGTTGGATGCGAAGAGGCTGGCAAAGGAAGTTAGAAAGACATTTTTCCAGGGTTGCTGCTCCCTACCTGACACGTTAACCTTGCCCCCTCCCAGCCCCAGCCCACGTGGGCACGGTCACACACACATACGCGAGCCACGTGAGTATGTGCGTGACACGGATGCTTTCATGGACACGCACATACGTGTATGTGTGCACGGACACCCCCCCCCTCAGGTGGCCGTCGCTAAGCCGGGCCCCACTCACAGCAGGTGCAGTGACGGTACCCTCAGGAAGCTGCCGGCCTTCAGCTGGGCGACTCCAGTCCTAACGAGTGAGCTGGGGATGTGGGCAATGGTGGGCGAGGAGAAGACTGCTCCCGTGCGCCAGTCTCATCCCAGAGCTGCCTCCTGTGTCCGGGGGTGGGGCGGAGGGGACCCCGGCATGCCACCTGACCCTGGGTGTGTGTGTCTCCCCTACATCCCAGGGGAGACAGGCATTTGTGCTCCTCGCTTGGCAAGGATCCTGGCAGCGCTCAGCCCACCCCACGGCTCTCCTTCCCAGGCCCCGATGCTGACCCTGCCCTTTGGAATTTCCCTCCGGCTCCTTTCCAAATCCCGGCAGCCCCCTTTCAGGCCTCCCGACATCCTTTGCTGCCCCCCTCCCAAGATCCTGATGGGTCCCTGTTTCCTTGGGGAGCCAGCACCCTGCCCCCCAGCCCCTGGGGTCCCAGGACTTGCGTCCACAGCCTCAGGCCTCCAGAGGGCCGGACACTCACAGCGACAGCAGGGTCGGGGAGAAGCTCTCGGGCAGGTCCGGGGAGCCCTCACACAGGGCACTGTCTTTAGAGCAGGAGCAACTCAGAGGACACTTTCCCTTTGGGGGTCTCCAGGTCCCCCCCACGCCCGGCCCAGCCAGCAGCAGCAGCAGCAGAATTGCTGCCCCTTCCATGCCCCCTGACCTCCGCCGAGGCACCGGCTTCTCTCTGCCCACCCAGCTTGGCCCGGGTCGCGGCCACTATATCTCCCATGCCAGGTGCCCCTCCATGCCGCCCGCTGGCACGCTCTGCCCTGGCTTCTCTCTCCTCTTTCTTGGTCTCTCCTCAGTCTGCTTTGCTTCCTGTATCTCTTTGGTGTCTAATTTTCTGTTTATTCCTCTTGCCCTGGCTTTCTGTCTCTCTCCCTTTTTACACTTCTGACTCCGTGAGTTAGTCTGCTTCCCACTCTCTATCTCTGTCTCTCTATTTCTAACTGAATTGTCTCTCTGTCTCTGTTTCTCTTTCTGTCTGTCTCCTTCTGTCTGTTGGCCTCTCTTTCTGTGTGTGCCTGAGTGTGTGTGTGTGTGTGTGTGTGTGTGTGTGTGTGTCTCCCTCTGTCTGGTGCCTTTATTTCTGTCTCCCTACCCCCCCTTTCCAGCTCCCTGGAAGTTTCTTCCCCTCCTCCCACGTCCCTTCTCCCAGGAGGTTTGGGAAAGGGACTTGCTGGGCACCGGGTGCTCCAGGCAGAGCAGGGCAAGAAGGAGGAGGGCGTCAGAGGCCATAGGAAGAGCAGCCCTTGGGAAGGGGCTAGAGGGCCCCATGGGAGGGGAGGGGCCACGGAGCGTTGGAGCTGCCCTGGCCCCTCCTGGCCAGCCCCCTCCCCAGATTCCCCACTCCACCCCACTCATGGAGTGTGAGGAGGCTGTCACCTGGGTGGGGACCGGATGGCTCTGCAGGTAAGGAGGGGGGTGGGAGGAGAGACCACCAAGGGCTGGAGCCGCGGTGGCCACTCCCAGCCAGCCCCCTCCCCTGGCTCCAGTAGGGCTGGGTGGGCACTGGCACCCAGGCTTGGAGGGACCAGCTCAAGTCCAGCTGCTCCCTCTGGTGGCGACACTCGCAGGGCAGCCGCCCTGCCCCAAACCCACAACCTCTCTTGCCCGAAATTAACTCCTTGAGTACCCACCACTCACTTAGGGGTAGGGAGCCAACCCAAGGGAAAAAGGATGATAGTGATGCCATCCCCTTCCTTCAGCACTGACTCTGTACCACGCCGCGTCCTACAGGTTCATCTATTAGCTCGTGCTGACCTCACTACAGCCCTCCGAGGCTGATATATCATACGGCTATTTTACAGATGGAAATAATGAGGAGGGGGTCAGGTCATTTGAGATCTAGGTTATCGAGCTGGGGCAGAGCCAGGACTCAAGCCCAGGCAGCTGGCTGCACAGTCTCCCGGTATGATTTTGCATTCCTCCTTTGGAGGTCAGAACCCATGGATATTGGCTGTTTTCGTTTGGACTAAGCTTTTAGCAGTTTGGATAGATTCTGTTCATTAAATAAGAAAAATAAATAAATGATATTACCCAATCTGAAGAAGTCATAATACTCACTGAGCCCTTACTATGCATCAGTCTTCACATGAATTTACTCAGTCCTCACAACAACCCCTTGAGGTGGGTAGTATGATTAACCCCCACTTTACAGATGGGAAAACTAAGGCATGAGGAGAACACACAGCCTCTCTTGGCACTGCTGCACACACCCAGAACACTTGGAGGACAAGGGGCCTAACAGCACCAGCTAGGGGTCACTGGTCACGAAGCAGGGCAAGGGTTGGGCCTGGGTGGGCTAGTCGGGGCTTTGGAGGGCACCGGGCAAAGCTGCGGGCAGATGAGGCCCAGGCAGCGTTGGGTCAGCTTCGGGTCGGCATACTCAGGACTGTTCCACTAACGCCTTTTATGGAAAAGTAGAAATGTGTGTCTTACTGGTAAAGCATAAATTATTAAACTTGAATATTTTTTAAAAGTATTAAAAGTGACCACCCCTGACGCCAGGTGGGGTCACTCAGATCAGGGTCATCCCTGATCCTCAGTTTGCCCATCTGTCAGATGGGGCAATCGTGTCACCCACTTCTCAGATGTGTAGAGAATTCCTCCTCTATCCGAGAGGATAGAGAGTGTTCAGAGCAGGGTGGGCACCCCACAGCTTGGGGTGGATTCTGGACCCAAGGGCTTGTCCTGCACCTGAACATCTCTGTGATTTGAGCAAGGCCCTTCAGGTCTCTGTTACCTCAGCCATAAAGCAGGGATGATAAACTTCTTTACAGGGTCTTTGAAAAAGATAGATAAAGAGCTTTGGGCCAGGGACACCGAGGGGAGACAGATGGGCCTAAATCCATACTCACAGAGTGTTCAGCCCAGCAGGGTTCTCCCTGCTGTTTATGATTAGAAGAATGACAAGGATGATGATGGTGACAGCTTACTTTTTTTTTTTTTTTTTTTTTTGGTTCATTTATGGGGCGC